AGCTTCTCAGACCACAAAGGTATCAAACTAGAAATACATTATGCAAAGAAAATGAAAAAGCCCACAAACACATGGAGGCTTAACAATATGCTCCTAAATAACCAATGGATCAATGACCAAATTAAAACAGAGATCAAGCAATATATGGAGGCAAATGACAACAATAATTCAACACCGCAAAATCTGTGGGACGCAACAAAGGCCATGCTAAGAGGGAAGTATATTGCAATACAGGCCTACCTCAGAAAAGAAGAACAATCTCATATGAACAGTCTGAATGCACAATTCATAAAACTAGAAAAAGAAGAACAAATGAGGCCCAAAGTCAGAAGGAAGAACATAATAAAGATTAGAGCATAAATAAATAAAATCGAGAAGAATAAAACAATAGAAAGAATCAATGAAAGCAGGAGCTGGTTCTTTGAGAAAATAAACAAAATAGATAAAACATCTAGCCAGACTTATCAAGAAAAAAAGAGAGTCTACACACATAAACAGAATCAGAAATGAGAAAGGAAAAATCACTATGGATACCACAGAAATACAAAGAATTATTAGAGAATGCTATGAAAAATTATATGGTAACAAACTGGATAACCTAGAAGAAATGGACAACTTTCTAGAAAAATACAACCTTCCAAGGCTAACCTAGAAACAAACTGAAAATCTGAACAGACCATTTATTAGCAACGAAATTTAACTGAAAATCAAAAAACTACCTAAGAACAAAATGCTGGGACCAGATGGCTTCACCGCTAATTTTTATTAAACATTTAGTGAAAACCTAATACCCATCCTCCTTAAAGTTTTCCAAAAAGTAGAAGAGGAGGGAATATTTCCAAAATCATTCTATGAGGCCAGCATAACTCTAATGCTAAAACCAGGCAAAGATCCCACAAAAAAAGAAAATTCCAGGCCAATATCCCTGATGAACATAGATGCAAAAATACTCAACAAAATATGAGCAAACTGAATTCAAAAATACATCAAAAAGATCATCCATCATGATCAAGTAGGTTTTATTCCAGGGATGCAAGGATGGTACATCATTCGAAAATTCTTCAATATCATCCACCACATACACAAAAAGGACAAAAACCACATGATCATCTCCATAGATACTGAAAAAGCATTTGACAAAATTCAACATCCATTCATGATAAAAACTCAACAAAATGGGTATAGAGGGCATGTACCTCAACATAATAAAGGTCATATATGATAAACCCACAGCCAACATTATACTTAACAGTGAGAAGCTGAAAGCTATTCCTCTAAGATCAGGATCAAGACAAGGATGCCCACTCTCCCCACTTTTACGCAACATAGTACTGGAGGTCCTAGCCACAGCAATCAGACAAAACAAACAAATAAAAGGCATCCAGATTAGTAAAGAACAAGTTAAACTGTCCCTGTTTACAGATGACATGATATCGTACCTAAAGAATCCACTCCAAAACTACTAGATCTAATATCTGAATTCAGCAAAGTTGCAGGAGACAAAATTAATACACAGAAATCTGAGGCATTCCTATACACTAATGATGAACTAGCAGACAGAGAGATCAGGAAAACAATTTCATTCACAATTGCATCAAAAAGAATAAAATACTTAGGAATAAACCTAATGGAGGAAGTGAAAGATCTATACCCTGAAAACTCAAGACACTCATGAGAGAAATTAAAGAAGATTCTAAGAAATGGAAACACATCCTGTGCTCATGAATAGGAAGAATTAATATTGTCAAAATGGCCATCCTGCGTAAAGCAATCTACAGATTCAATGCAATCCCCATCAAAACACTAACAGCACTATTCAATGAACTAGAGAAAATAGTTCTAATATTCATATGGAACCACAAAAGACTCTGAATAGCCAAAGCAATCCTGAGAAGGAAGAATAAAGCTGGGGGGATTATGCTCCCTGACTTCAAGCTCTATTACAAAGCCACAGTAATCAAGACAATTTGGTACTGGCACAAGAATAGACCCATAGACCAATTGAACAGAATAGAGAGCCCAGATATAAACCCAAGCATATATGGTCAATTAATATACGATAAAGGAGCCATGGACATACAATGGGGAAATGACAGCCTCTTCAACAAGTTGGCAAAACTGGACAACCACGTACAAGAGAATGAAAATGGGTTATTGTCTATCGCCATACACAAAAGTAAACTTGAAATGGATTAAAGACCTGAATGTAAGTCATGAAGCCATAAAACTGTTAGAAGATAATAACATAGGCAAAAATCTCCTGAATATAAACATGAGCAACTTTTTCCTGAACGCATCTCCTCGGACAAGGGAAACAAAAGCAAAAACGAACACATGGGACTACATCAAACTAAAAAGCTTCTGTACAGCAAAGGACACCATCAACAGAACAAAAAGTCATCCTATAGTATGGGAGAATATATTTGTAAATGACATATCCAACAAGGGGTTAACATCCAAAATATATAAAGACCACACATGCCTCAACACCCAAAAAGCAAATAACCTGATTAAAAAATGGGTGAAGCAAATGAACAGACAATTCTCCAAAGAAGAAATTCAGATGGCCAACAGACACATGAAAAGATATTCCACATCACTATCAGGGAAATGCAAATAAAAACCACAATGAGGTATCACCTCACACCAGTTAGGATGGCCAATATCTAAAAGACTAAAAACAGCAAATGCTGGTGACAATGTGGAGAAACTGGAACCCTCCTACACTGCTGGTGGGAATGTAAACTAGTTCAACGATTGTGGAAAGCAATATGGAGGTTCCTCAAAAACTAAAAATAGAAATACCATTTGACCCGGGAATTCCACTCCTAGGAATTTACCCTAAGAATACAGGATCCCAGATTCATATATGCATCCTTATGTTTACTGCAGCACTATTTATAATAGCTAAGATACAGAAGCAACCTAAGTGTCCATCAGTAGATAAATGAATAAAGAAGAGGTGGTACACAATGGAATACTATTCAGCCATAAGAAAGAAACAAATCCTACAATTTGCAACAACATGGATGGAGTTGGAGGACATTATGCTCAGTGAAATAAGCCAGGCGGAGAAAGACAAGTACCAAATGATTTCCCTCATTTGTGGAGTATAACAACGAAGCAAAATTAAAGGAACAAAGCAGCAAGAGACTCACAGACTCCAACGGACTAGTGGTTACCAAGGGGAGGGCAGGTGGGGAGGGAGGGAGGAGTTTTATGTGGGGTATTTTGATTGGCACACATGGTGGGGGGGTATCATGGGGAAGATAGTGTAGCACAGGGAAGGCAAATAGTGACTCTGTGGCATCTTACTACACTGATGGACAGTGACTGCAATGGGGTATTGGGGGGACACGATAACATGGGTGAATGTAGTAGCCACATTGGTTTTTCATGTGAAAACTTCATAAGAGTGTATATCAATAATACCTTAATAAAAAAAAGAGTGCTCTCTATATAACTGGATAATGAGACCAAATTTTATGAGACTGAATAGATTATAGGGTCTTATTAATTAGAATTTAAAACAGGCTTTCTTCAACAGCTTCTGCATTCTTATTTTGGAAGATTTTTCTGTTACTACCTTATTACAATTAGCAAAGAAAAAATTTTGAAGATGCAAAACAACTGTACTTGGATTTAGCGCTCAAAAATGGTAATCCATTGTGCATACATTTAAGGTGAGATTCACCAAAAATACGGAATAAGATCTAGTTAGTACAGATTTCCTAATATACGTCATGAGTTACTTTTCTCCATTACTAAAGGAAGCCCCCTCATATGCCAAGTTGAAATTTAAACAGAACACCTGTACGAAGATCGCACACATGGTGCGACTTACCATTCAGTACTTTGAAGTTTCTTAGTAAAATGTGAGCAAGCTTTCTTTTTTAAAATGTACATATTTGATGAATGCTTTGGGTAGAGGGCTGTTCGGCCATTGAATTTTTACCTACCAAATGTTACTCTCTAGTTTAATAGTTAAGGTTACATAATTTTTAAAAGACTAGATTACTATTACATTACTTTACGAACGCTCTCGGTTAGATCCTACTTGAGTGTGAAAACGTTAACGTTCTTAAGATTTTGTCAACATAACAAAATCTGCAAGTAAAGTGTACTTTCACCGTTATGTTTGCCAAAAACTCTAGGGCCTCTCTGGACGTGCTGCCGGCAGCCCAGGACAGCCGGGACCCCGCCTACAGGTGTGTTTTACTTTCCTGGGGGCCCTGCCTGCTCGCCTGCACCGCGCGCCTGGAACTAACAAGCGTGAGGGTTGCTGCAAGCTGGCGCTCCAGCCTCCCCGAGGGCGCTGCTCTCGCCCAGGTCCCCAAGGGCGGCTGGACGCGAACACCCGGAGCCCGCATCCGAGTCCGGCGCGCGAGGCGGCAGGAGAGACCAGCTCCGGAAAAGCCGCCCAACTAGGGCACAGGCAAAGCAAATTATGCAACGGCGCCGCTCGCCGCGCCACGAAAGCGCCCCTTAAGTTAGGGCTGCGACCGGAGAAGTGCGAGCGGCCGCGGGCTGCGCAACGGGCTCGGCAGGCAGCACGGGCTCCGCGGGGACGGCGGGCGGCCCACAAGCGGCGGCCGGGCTGTCGGGCCGCCCGCCGCCTCCGCGCCGCGGGGCGCCTGGGGAAAGCCCAGCCCCGGGACAGCGGAGGCGGGGGCGCCCCGCTCACCGCCCCCCACCCCCACCGCGGCCGCCGCCGCCCGACGCACAACAAAGCGGCGCGGCCCCCAACTTCCCCGGGCCCCTGGCTCCGCTCGGCCCGCGACGACGGCCGCCGGCGGGGGCGGCGCGGCCCGGGACGGGCGGGGGCCGTGGGGGAAGGGCGCGGGCTTCTCCGGACGAACTTCCTCGGCCGCCCGCCGCTGCCCGTCGGCCGGGCCGCCCGGCGGAGTCGGCGCCCTGCCGGGGCCGGGCCGGAGCGGCCGGGGAGCGCGGCACCGCGAGCCCCTCCGCCGCCGCACGCCCCCCCGCCCCTGCCCCTTCACCTCCTGGGGCGCGGTCTACGCCCGCCGGGCCGCCCTCGCCCGTGGCTCCGGGGCCTCGCGCGCCGCGGGACCGGGCGCCGGCGGCGGGAGCTGCAGCTGGCCCCGCGGGGAGCGCGGAGCCCCAAGTGACGGCGGCGCGGGCGGCGGCTGCTCCATCTTCCCGGGGCGCTCACGCCGAGGTCCCGACGCACAGACCCAAGCGGGACATTCGCTACATTGTTGGCATTCCACGGGCGTCACGTGACCCCGCCTCCCGCGTCACTCTCGGCCGCACACCAGCCCGGGCGGGGCGCCCGCGGCCCTGCCGCTCGGCCGCCGCCCGCCGCGCTCCGCCCGCCGCCGCTTCCTGCCCCCGGCTCGCTGCCGGGCGGCTGCCGCCACCTGCGCGGCCTCCCCGCCGGCCCAAGGGCCCTGTGGCCCGTTCGCCGCCCGCCCCTAACTCCAGAACTGCCCCCTCGGCTGCCCTTGTAGGGAAAGTTGGTAACTGTCGTTAAAGCCGCTGGTTTCTTAAGCATCTCACACCGGCTGAGGCGAGAGAGGTACCGTCACAGGCCCGAGGGAGCCCCCGAGCCCCCGAATGGGTGCAGAACACTGAAAGTTAAGGGCAGAAAAGTGGACAGCTGTTCGTCCATGGAACCAAGCAATAAAGAACGGTGTCAGATACATATCCGAGTTAATCAGTTCTAAAAAAAATCAACCCCCGGTGCTGTGTATATTTTGTTCATGAGAAGTTTTTTATGATGTATGGAAATATAGTATTGATGTCTACCAACAAGGGGGATTGTGGCTTTTGCATTTCACCCACTCGACTGCCTTTCTGTTGAGAAGGCTATGGATTTAGTACAAGGACATATGCAGAGATTATGCAGAGATGGGAGTCGAAATAATAGACGGGAAGCCAAACCTTAATCCACTCCTGGCTCTCCAAACATCACACTTCCTAGGCCAACAGTCCCTGGCAGGTGATGATGAGGGTTAATATCTTGTTAAAAACCAACCCGGTTTGCTTTTTAACTAATAAACTTGGGAAATTTAAAAATTTGATCTCAAAAGAAATAGTCTTGAAGGTCGTCATCTTCAGACTATTTTAGCTGCTTTCTGATTCTTCCTCTTTAAATCCCACCCAGGCTTTCAGCCTTGCCCTCTGCCTTAGCTCTTCCTGGGAATCTTAAGAATTCAATTTTATTTTTCACTCTTATTCTTTCCTCTATCCAGGCATCATGCACAATTGAAGTCTCCAGTTGGTAATCTGTGATTGACCCCCTTGCACTCACCTGTGCACACGTGTACTTCTCCACCCACCCATTGACCATACCTTCTCCATCCCAGCTCCAAGGCACAGGGCTGCCGGCCAGTCTTAGTGTATGTTCAAAGGTTCTGCCCTTGCTCTGTCTTCCAAGATGTACACATATTAAATAAAACATTTCTGGTCAAATGAAATATTGTAAATAAAAGGAACTGGACTTTAAAATTGTGTAAAACACCTAATAAAATTTAAAACTTACATGACCATTATAATACTGCTTGCAATAGTGAAAAATCAGGAAGAACCTAAATGCCCAGCAATAGGGGAAGTAGGTAAATAAAAGGTAGATAAGTGATGAAATATATAAAATAGCTAACTGAGTGAACTAGCTCTGTAATTTTCAAAGGATACATGATTGTAGAGAGGATTGAAGACCACTGTAAAATGGAAAAAAGCACATTGCAAAATTATGTATACACTATGATACCATATTTATAAATAAACCAAATTCCACAGGACCTAATCACATACTTCATGTAAGTATAGACATGGACTGCAAGAGTACACACCAGATTCATGACAGCTGCTGTCTGTGTGGGAGGAAGGAGGGAAATTAGACTGATAGAGAAAAATGAAGACTTCAACTTTATCCCCCATGCTTTATTTTTACAGTTTACAAAGTGAAGCAAAACTCAAGATCATAAAATTTGTTGACTCTGGATGGTTAGGTTCAATAATATGTGCTGTGTTATCCTTTGTGCTTTTTTGAAAAACATCTTTGTACATTTTTTAAATATGTACATATATAAACAAATTGGAAACAAGTAAGTTTCCAAATAGGGGCTTGCTTGGGGAAACTGATGCATCTATATAAGAGAATATGATTAATGATTATATTTATTATTATTGTGGATATGTGTTTATTGATATGGAGTCATTCATTGCTTCAGATCTTTTGGTTTTATTTTTTAGGTACCTGTTAACAGACATGGGCAAAACCAGGCACAGGGGATACTATGGTGAGCAAAACCACATGAATTTAGAGTCCTGTAGATGTGCTCACATACGATCGATAGTATATAGATTATAACATAGAAATATTGTGTGTGTATAATACACACACACACACACATATACATTTTCTTTTTAAGTCCAGAAAAGTATACAGCCAGATGTTAAGAGTGGTAGTCTCTGGGTATAGTGATTCTGAATGATTTTTGTCTTACAATTCCTGATACTTCTGAATAAAATAGTTAAGAACAATCCTATGTTTAAATTAAATAATCAGCTAAACAAGTACATCTAAATAATGCGTCCAGCTGAGAAGGGGAGAAAAGAGAGGCCAGCTGATCACAAGGCCTACAGTAGTGACAATGTCATCCATATAAATTAATTGATTAACATAGTATGTATATATGTGTATGTGTGTCTAAGTCCCTATTCTATACCAGGTGTTGCCCTAAATTTGCATATTAACTCACTTAATCCTCTAGACAACCATGTTATTAACCCCATTTTATAGAAGATAACCCTAAAACACAAAGTACTTGTCAAGTAAGTCACTCAAGGTCTAAAAGCTGGGATTCAAACCGTGTCAGGCCTGACTTGAGAGTTTGGAACCATTAAAGTTTAAGGCTTTCTTCAGGTAATCTTAAAAAGTCATGATTACAATGTACTCAAAAATAAGGAAACTGAAACCAAATTAACTCCCTGATACTTCGTCTGAGGGAAGGCCAACTGTCTTTTCTGAGTGAGGAAGAGGGGAGCCCAGAGACCTGTGTCACCATCACCAATCATAACAGAAAGAGGCCGCCTCCTGTAGGCAGAGGGAATCTTCTCACCAGTGAGCCCCTGTAGCTGTGGGGCCAGGACATTTCAGGGGCTCTCTCTGAGGCCCCTGTAGAATATGCCCTAAATATGCCTACCTGCTTTCCCCACACCTGCCCCAATTGTGAATGCAAAAGTCCTGATTATGGCTCAGCCTCTTTATACCTACTCCCTGGAAAGCAGGCTCTGGTCTCTCTAGACAGAATTTTCATGCTTTTGGAAAGAAAAGGTCTCCTTGTTTCTAATTTGTGGAGGTGACTTAGCAAATCTGCCTAACTGCAAAAGAATGTTCTCTATGGGGAGGAGTGAAAAAGTAGAGTAGGGTTAGATTATGAAAGGCCTAGAAAACTAGGAAAGAAGGCATGCCACACTGATTTAATTTGTTTTATAGCCATAGAGTTAGTCTTTGATTAGATTACAAATTCCACCAGGAATTTATAATAAATAAACAGGGACCATAGTCTCCCCCTAAAACTATACAGAAAGAACTATTTAGTTGCTAATTTAAATGCATTGCATGCACTAAGAGGCTGCTTTAATATGTCAAATATCAAAATTTAGAGGACTGCCTTTTTCTCTTAACCAAACACTGTGTCGGCGCGAGAGATCGCCTGGTTCGCTGTTCTTTGGAGTTTTTGGTTGTGCTAACTCATAGGAACTTCTACAGAAGTTAATACCAACGATATTAGTTCAAGACTCTGTTTCAATAACAAACTCTTTTTTACTGTTTTGTTTTTTCAGTGATAAAACATACATAATATAAAATTTACCATTTTAGCTCATTTGAACTGTACAGTTCAGTGGCATTAAGTACATTCACAATGTTGTGCAACCATCCCCTCCACCCCCAGAACTTTTTCATCATCTCAAACTAAAACTCTGGTATCCATTAAGCAATAACTCCCAAATTCCCTTCCCTCTCGTTTGTTTTTTTGAGGGATTTTTTTTATTGTTAGTTATGTTGCCTCTGCTAGGTAATCAGCTCTTCTTTTTCTCTGCTATCAAGATTCCAATCTTTAGTAATATATTACACCTTACTAATTTTCTGCTTCAATCTGCTATTGGCTGAGAAAGATTGTGTAGCTGTTCAAAACTATGTGAAGAGCTATTAGAACTTCCTATCCCTAAAAGCCTTTGCTATGCAGAGAAGAGCTATGACTCCGATGCTATGCGAAGAGCTTTGGCTTCCTCGGTTCCTGGACATTTCCCAAAGAGTGCATTACTGGAAGTTAGATTTACAGAAAAGTGGATTATGACTGTTTTTAAGAGAGTAGTAGATTAAAGATAGAAGAAGAATAACCAGAAATGTTTTATATCTTATATATTTTTTAAAGACTTTATTTAGAAGGTTCCATTGCTGGGTTTCTTTTAAAATTTAATTTGTTTTATTATTTTTTTAAATTTTGGTAAAAATGCACCTAATATCAAATTCACCATTTTAACCATTTTTAAGTGTACAAACTCTTATTTTTTATAATAATGAAAACAGTTTTGATACCAAGGGGAAAAAATCCCCAGTATTAAATTTCAATTCTTATGTGCGTTTTTCAATATTAAAAATACTGAGAGAGTAAACTTTCTGATTTTAACTTATTTCTAATGGCTTTACTTTTAGCCATTTGGAAAACAGAACCTCCTGGAAAATTTGCCAAAGACCTCTAATGCATATTAAGAGGAAGGCCTGGGGTCCCAGCAAGTTTTACAGTGTGGCTAGCACCTTGCCAGTGTCTGAAAACCTGTCTTTCTTGCTACCTTCAACAACTCAGAGAGTGGTTTTATTCTCTGAATAGGCACTCTGCTTCTCAGATGAGAATTATGTGGTTGCATCAGTTAGGACTGCTTAACAATTTAAGATTTATTTCCCTGAAACCTCAAAGAAACACTGTCAAAATTAATATCACATTCTGCACTTAAAGAATTCTTATGTTGACACTTTACATTATTTCTTACCACATCCTCCATTCGCTTACTTTTTATGATGAGTGAGCTATGATAACAACAGTTAACCTACTTATTTCTCATTAGGTTTATAGATGGCTGGAGTTTGCATTTCATTCGCAGACATGACCAGGATGTTGTCAAAAAATCCCACAAAAAGGTTTATATGTACATATATGCTCCTAAGGCTTACATTCAAAACTGTAATCTTTTGTAGTAAACACTGGTAAAATTTAGGAAG